TGACCCAACTTAACCAAATTGACACTTGTAAAACCTAAATTTATGCCAAATTTTATCCATTTAAATTATATTTATTATTAAAATATTAAAATTAAAAATAATTTTTATACTAAATATTTTAATATTTTAGCATTAAAATTAAATAAAAATAAATATTTTCAATTGTTTACTTATTTTATATATTTATTTTATTAACTAAAATAAAAACTTAATGTTACAGTGTACAGCTTCTAATTGGATTTTGTAAATCTTGAACATGCTTTGTGCAGCTTCTCATTAATTGAATTTTGTAAATCTTGTACATGTTTTGTGCAATTAAATGATATGGGAGAATTGCTATGGTTTCATGATCTGGGAGAACTGCTCTGGTTTCATTTTTGTAAAAGACTTGTTATAGTTTTTTTTATAGAGAGTATATTTTAGATTGTTTGGGAGGTGACTCTATGGGTTTTTTGTTTTGTTTTGAAGTCCTACATCTGGAATAACTTGCAGAACTTATAGATAATATATTTCTACTTTTTAAAAAAATAAAAAGATAATATAAGGATTTTGATAAGCATGCTAATAATATATTTTCTTCATTAATTCCGATATTATATCACAATACATTTATGGCTATAAATCTGTAATGATTGATTTAATATTAACTTTTTTATGTGATGAGATTTTCTCTCATTGAAATCTTTCAGAAATATATTAATATCAGAGATCCAGCAAAGATATAGGAATCACTCCTATATATATGCGCAAGAACAATTGAATCTACATAATCATACTCCAAAAATTTTATTCCTCTACTTCATCTTCTCTACTTCATCTTCTTCATGGCTTTCTTCGGTGCAAGAAATAACAGAAGCTTTCCCATGGCAATCATGTTTCTACTTCTTGGAATTTTCATGTCTAGTTTGAAGTTTACAGGTTTGATTTTATTCACAATCTCACAATTTTAATTACGTTTTTTATTTGTATTTAGTTTGTAATATCGTGTAATTGATTATTAAGTAATTGATTATAATAATGATATATATGCATTTCAAAAAATTAAATTTAACTTTTCTTTTACCAATTAAATATAACAGCTTTTAGAAACTTTGTACAATTGTTGTTGTAAAATAGGGGCAAAATCCATAGGCGTTTGCTATGGAAGAATCGGCGACAATTTGCCAAGTGAACAGGAAGTTTTAGAACTTTATAAAGCTAGTGGCATCGAAAAGATGAGAATCTATGATCCAAATCAAGCAACTCTGCAAGCCCTCGGAATGTTTCCAGATATAGAACTCATCCTTGGTGTCCCTAACGGTGACCTTGAGGCCCTTGCTACCGATGCCTCATTTGCAACCGATTGGGTTCAACGTAACATACTACCCTACGCACCGGCGGCCAATATTCGTTACATCTCTGTTGGAAACGAAGTGAGACCGATGGATCCAGCTGCACAATTCGTTCTCCATGCAATGCAAAACATTTACAATGCTTTGGAGTCAGCAAACAACGCAATGGAACTACTCCAAATTATGGTTTCTACTTCGGTGGATGCAACTTTGTTAGGCAGTTCGTATCCTCCTTCAGCTGGCGTATTCAGTGACAGTGCAAGCTCTTACATAATTCCCATCGTTCAATTCCTAGCAGACAAAGGGGCGCCTTTACTCGCCAACATCTACCCTTATTTTAGCTACATTGGTGACCCTAGTAGCATCGATATTAACTACGCCTTATTT